TCTCAAACAGTTTAGCGTAATCTTATTAGCAAGCAACAATTATTATGAACGTGATTAAATTCTTGTTTGTTTTGTTCTGTCCCTTTCGGTCGATGGCGTCGGTGTATGGCATTTCCAAAGAATCGGCAAAACTATCACTCTAACCAAATGCGTCACTTTGTTAATTTTATAGAAAGACTGAAATAAAAGACCAACGACCAACAGCTGCAACGGCAAACAAGTGTCGAATCATACACCTGTTTCCGACAGCGATGAAAGTTTTAAAGCGTCTTTGGCCTTTATAATGTGCAGAATGGCTGACAAAACGTACGTTCTTCCTCATTAGGCCGGCGACATCTGTTCGCGTTACACATAATGAAGGTATTTCTCGAGTACGTTTCGTTGGGCTTGTTTAACTGATGTGGGCCACTTCCGACAGAGTTTTACTCAGTATTAGTTTTTGGTTGAACTACCCTGTACAAGAATATAAACAGACGAGGTGAACGGAGATGGCGGACGGAATAATGTAAGCTCGGCGAGGCGCATCATGTTTTAATGAAAATTTAAACGCAATTACGTAATTTCAATGGAAAGTTGAATGGTAGCCGTGGAGGGAAGCCGAGCCTGCATTGCGACAAATGGATTGAGCCGCTCGGATCTGTATGGAAATTATGGATCTGAACTTTGTTATCGGTGTTCGTACCATGGGTTGGCGGTATCAAACAAAAGGGTTTATGGCAACTCTATTATGAACTGCTAGGCTAGACTTCAGGGCGCTATAATTTTCCAGGAAATAGGAAAGTGTGCAAAATGTGAGCAAAAACTCTTAACTAAAGAAGTTTCTTAACATGTTGCATAGTATACTTTTTCTGCTACCATTGTAGAAAAAGAAAAGTATGGAACACGTAGATAAACTTTGCAGTTTTGCCAAAACGTGTAATGGAGTAGTAAGTAATTTTGTTAAAAATTTTGTGCTTTTGAACTTCATTCCTTCATTTTTTAATTTCTTTTTTTTGTGGCCTACGTAATATTATATATATATATATATATATATATATATATATATATATATATATATATATATATATATATATATATATATATATATATATATATATATATATATATATATATATATATATATATATATATATATATATATATATATATATATATAAACTAACACTTGGAATTTCTTCTTATATCGACCGTACTAAACTTATTTGAATTCAAAGGACATTTATGTCAATAACGGATATCCAAAACATATACTTAAGAGATTAATCTATAACTCCAACACATTTGACGGTCCAACAGAGGAACCAGACGCTCGGATGTGTTACAGAAAGATACCTTATATTAAAAACCTCACAGAATCTATCATAAATATTTTCAGGGAATTCAAGGAAATAAAAATTGCTAAATATAATACTGAAAAACTTTTTTCTAGAGTGAAAGATCCAACTCCGCTACTATATAACTGTAATGTCATATATCGATTGTCGTGTTTGGGTTGTCAAGGCTGTTATATTGGACAGACCTCACAGTGGTTAAAACAACGTTTAACACAGCACAAAAGTGATTGCCGTATTCATAAGAATACTTGTGCAGTGGTTGAGCATTACATAAAAACAGGATATGAATTTGATTACAGCAATCCAAAAATTTTGCAATGTGTCAATAATTATAAAGCCCGATTGTTTCTTGAAATGTGCCATATTAACAAAAACAAAGATTCAATTAATTACAAGTCTGATACACAACAAATAAGCAATGTATACTGTAACATTTTTCAGTTAAACCACAGATAATGTAATATTCGGCCACCGAGTAGCGTATTCGCGTTGCGTTGTTGATCCACGGAGTAGGTTATTTTGATGCCTTTTTTTTGTCATTATTTAGATCGATTGTTTTTTTTTCTTTTTTTTTGATTGTTTTTTTTTTGTTTTTTTTCGCTACCCCCGTTAGCGCAACTTTTGCCTACCATTATTAAGAATTGTATACTAAGTGTTTATCCGTTTGTTTCATTATTTCGCTTCGTTCATTTACCTTAACTGTAAAGTATGGTTTTTGAGGAACTATGTGGTCGACTCTAATTTTGTAAGTATTTCTCAGGATTGTTTTAATTGTCTGTTATATAGTTTGACCTGTTGTTTTCATTAAATTTTAGTTCACTCCTGAAGAAGTCAACAAATAAATTGACGAAATATTGAGTGTTAAAGAAAAAAGGAGCTTTCTATTTCTTTGTTTTTTTTTCTCTTATATATATATATATATATATATATATATATATATATATATATATATATATATATATATATATATATATATGATGACACTATATTCCGGGATATCATCCGTTCGCTCGTTGAACTCCTGGGGTGTTCGAAGTGTTTTCGGAGCGCGAGCATTGAAGATGCCAAGTGAGATTTTGGCGAAACGTCTGCAGGATTCCAGTCGGATGCAGGATTCCAGTCGGAGTTCAACGAGCGAACGGATGATATCCCAGAATATAGTGTCATCACATTTTTCCATCCGTGAATCAATACGTGAGAATATATATATATATATATATATATATATATATATATATATATATATATATATATATATATATATATATATATATATATATATATATATATATATATATATATATATATATATATATATATATATATATATATATATATATATATATATATATATATATATATATATATTATAATATTACGTCGTAATGGAGGCCAGATGAAGCAGCGCTAGATCTACGTTATATTTACTTTGCGCTCTCTTTTTTATTATGTTAATGGATTGTTAGTTAATATTTTTATACTAAGATATTTTTCTGCTAAAGTCAATTTCAGCAAAATATTCCCCGTTTCGGTTAATATTCCACCAGACGCCGGAAAATTCGTAAACAATGGTAAAACTTTCTATACCGCGTTGCAAACTAACCAAGTGCAGACGTCGTGGAAAATAAATCGACGCTACCCGCACGAAATTGAGTTACCGAATGCTTATTACAACTTTTGCGAAGCTATCATCCTCTCATACATCGCCTAAGCGACATGGATTTTGCGATTTATCATTCGAACTTTGAAGTACGCGATTTTCAAGCGTGTGGTTCATAAAATCGAGAACTTTAAGAACAGTTATATTGGTTTTGATGGCTTTCGAACATTTCGTGATGGTGATACTTAGGACACTAGCTTGACTTATTGCTATTTGAAAAGTTAATTTTGCTTTTTTCTTTAGAACAAAATGTTTGCAAAAAGGAAAAGATTTCAAAACTGTTTATTAATATATGCAATTAACATACAAGTTTTCATTGGTCGTTTTTTCGTGCTTGGTTTCTATTTTTGTTTTTTTTCTCGAAAAGAGAGATAGGAAACAATTTCATGAGGCAAGGAACTTGTCTTTTTCGTTGCTTATTCAAAAAAAATATATATTTATGGCTTTCAAAAAAGTCTATGGCCTACATATTCATCAACATGATGCCTTGTCGATTCCTAATATGTTATCTACCATTAATTATGTAAACAGTAAAATTCTGTAACGTTTTTTTGCAAAAAATCCAATAATATGCAACAATTTTTATTAAAACTATCATGAAATATACAGGCTGATTCATAAATAATATGCGGTAAACCAAACTTATATTTTTTTATTTTTTTTCAACTCCCTGTATATTATTGCATGAGTAGATACTCCCTTTTATACTCAATCGCCATTTTTTTAGTCAAAAATGCCCTTTGTTTAAAACTATATTTATTTACAATTTCATATAGTACAGTTTATACAGGATGAGTCGAAATGAAAAAAATTATTTTTCCCGAAAAAATTTGGAACACCCCATTAATGCACTTTCAGTTTTATTAAGCAATCCTGCCTACCTAAACTTAGTATCTTTTGAGGTATGCACATTTTTGAAAATACTGAAAAAATTCGAACTGTGCGAGAATTTCACAACAGATTGAGAACCTACCTAAACCTGCAAAATCTACAGAAACGAATTAAGTGCAATTCGGAAAGAATTTATTAAATTCGACAATTAAACAAAAATAAAATTATGATCTGCGCAACTTTGGAAAAACAGTTTAAACAGTATTTTACGCTAGGGACAATATGAAAAATGCAATGTTTTTATTGCTAATAGTTCCAGAATATTTCTTAATTCCAAAAATATAAGTTTTAGTCTCATCTCTAAGTTTTGTATTTAATATTTTCCCCAAAAGACAAATCATAAACGAGATATATTACTTTGACGCTTATAGGAATGCTAACCGGTGTCCCTCAGAGATCGATTTCAGGCGCACTGCTTTTCGTTATTTATACTGCTGTACTTCTGATATCTTGAGATCTTTAAAATCCTGTTCGTTTCTGAAGATTTAAGCTCCAATCAAAAATATATATATCCAAATGTAGTCAGCAGTTTTACATAAATTTTGCTCGTGCGCTAATTTTGAAGCAATGTGCCGTACATGCCTTTAAAAAAACACATGTTTTTAGAAACTAAAATATTTTAACCGCTTAAATTAAATATAAAAATAAATAAATAATAAAAATAAAATATATATTTTAATATTCGTTTATTGATAACGTAATGGGTGCACTAATTTAATAAACGCGTCCGAAAACAGCACCAAAAAATATCCCTTCGACAGTTCCCTCGGGACTGACTTTGCTAGCCGATGTTTGTTCAAGGGCCCCCGGCAAACTGATCGATGTGAGCCGGCGAAACGTCAGCACTAGAGTGGAAAGGGCTCACCTCAATTACTACGGCCCACAATTAAGTTAACATGGGGCAATTGTTCGCGCGAGAACCGCTAATTCTCCGACGAGGATCTTCTCATCCGAAAGGTTAAAATCGCGGGCTGGCCCATAGGCGCGCGCTCTCCTACTTCACCCGTCATATAAAATATCGACAAATCCTTAAAATAAAAAATTACTTGTTATCCGGCTCGAAGGACCAAAAAAAGGGGTCGTCTTATTGAAAAGCGTTTCTCTCCTTGTTCCAGCATGTCTCGTCCCAGATCAATTAGCGGCGGCGGGAGTGTATTCCGCAGGGGCGCCAGCCTGGGGGACTTGCTGGTAACGAGGCCCTCGGGATTAATCGAACACGAATCATGGGCCGTCCTCTGCCAGGCCGTGCAGGCTCTTCAAGATTTATTCCTCTCAGGTAATTATTTCCGAGTTTTGCGGGTTCTTGCTGAGCGAACCGGAGATATTCTGCCAAGGTGGACGATTTAATTGGCTATATAATTTCGTATATGGGAGACAGCCTACGCGAGAGCCAAAATTTCGAGGTGTCAAATTTATCGCGGACTGTTTGTTAGAAATGTCGCCTAAAGATGCGGCCGTTATATACCAGTAAAACAATAAATTTTAAAGTCAATCCAATATACCGGGTGATTCGTGGCGGAAAAGAACATGGGAAATCCTATTAAAATTTTTGGGTATTGAACTGAGGTGGCTTTTACTTGATGAAAATTCATTAAACAAAATGAATAAGAACTAATAGTTCAGATTTTCACGCAATTATATTTGACATTGACATTTGATAAAAACACGGTGTTGTGGTGACAATTGTCATGTGTAAATATAATATGATATAATTTCGTGAAAATCTGAACTTATATTTTTAGGTGGCCAAACTTTGGCTCCCCTGTACATTTTATAGCAAAGTCATAGTATAACTTTTTGAAAGGGTCGGCACGATTAACACATGAGCCGAGTTTGAATAAATTTTAATAAGCCAATCTTCAGTTATTGAATTGAATATGATGGCAATGGAACATTAGTCGCCCAAGGTGCTGCATCCATTGGCCACCCAGGTCACCTGACCTCTCGCCGAATCACTTCTTTCTGTGGGGTCGCGTGAAAAGCGTGTACATTTATAAAAATGTTAAATTTTCACAATATCACCTCAGCAATATTTTGTATAATTATTAATTAATTATAATTAACGTCTTGAAGGTCAAATTTATAGTCGTTCCTTCGAAGTTCGAAGTTTTAAGTGACAAGGAGTTCTTAAAAGTATGAGTTTGATCCTAAGAAAAACATTATATTATTATATACCTACATACTCAGTTTATTTTTAATGTTGAACTGAGCTGACTTTTCTTTGATCAAAATCCATTTAACAAAATAAATAAGAACTAAACACTCAGATTTTCACGAAATTATATATTTTCACATGAAAATTGTTTCGATAGCACCGTGTCTTTATGAAATGCAACATTTACAAACTACCTGCTACTATATATAGCGAAAAATAACAATAAAACCTTAATTAATCTTGTTGTGAGAATTTAAGTTTAATAATGGAGAGGTATTTAAATCTAATTGATCGTTAAGCCATACGTTTGAATGTCTCATTTTGTTAATCTCCATGGCTTCCGATAAATTTAATTTTCTCCTTTTTGTGGCTGTATGAAAATATCTTTCACCCTCACTCGGAAACAGGTAAACCCATTGGTGAAACAGGATTTATTAGATTGCATAATAGTATCTTTAGCCGAGATGTTTATGGATAATTTGATTTTAAGGAAAAGTTTTCTATGGTGGTATTGATACGTGGATGATATCTTTGCTTGCTTTGTTGGAACGCACAGACAATTGAATTCATTTTTAAATTACAGGATAACTCTATTAATTTTTTAAACTTAACTATTACGAAAACGCCAACCAAATTTGGTTTTTCCATTTACCATAAACCTTCACACACGGACACAGTCATACATAACAGCTCAAATCACCCTTATACACGCAAAATGGCTATAATTTACTCTTTTATACACAGACTTCTTAGTTGGCCACTCTCAACAGGAAATTACAACAAAGAACTTAATATCATTAAACAAATTTCACTGATCAACGACTACAATCCGTCCATTATCGATAAAATTATAAATAAAAAGCAAATCCAGACTACAGTAAGCTCTATTATTGAATAAAAACTCCTATTATTAAACAATTAAACCAACTGAGCAATGTCAAATAATACCTTAAGAAATTGCAAATTTTTTTGTCTATTTTTTTCTGGTCGTCATGCGTTGCTTTAGATTTTATTTGTTAACGGTAAGTATTTTTTAAAAAAAAAATGTGTTGAAAATGTGATTCACTGCTTGGCTGACTCTTTCGGAGTGCAAACCGATCTTGACAGACAATTTCTATATACTTAGTGTACTTATTTCTAAATCTTGATGCCGATCTATAACCTTTAGTAGAATCACAAACCATCTAATTTTTGACTATACATCTTTGAAGCGTGAACTTCACCTAGGTATAATAATGGACTCAAAAATTATTTATCACGAAAATATTCACTTACTTATTTTAAGCAAAGTTGGCTCCTCTAAAAAAAAACATCAACACCTGAATGGTGATTATCACTCTTTCTGAAGAGATAATAAGATGGTCCTTAATTTTTCAAAAAACTTCCACAGATTACTGTAATGCTATTTACAAAACTTCTGGATTCTTCCTGCGTCGGCTGTTGTTGAGTCGAACTTGCTAACGTTTCGCCAAACTCTGAAGAAGCCAACAGGATGATTGGCAAAACGTTAGCAAGTTCGACCTAACATCAACCGACCCAGAGGAATCCAGAAGTTTTGTAAATAGCAGAGCTTGTATCAAGAGTTATTTTTTGTATTCCAGAAAGACACTTGCGCCATCACCAAACTTTTTTAATCCCATTTAGATTAACAAACTCAAGTCAAAATTCTGTTTTAGTCAGAATGGTCATGCTTTACAATGAGCACTGTAACAAGTTAAGTCTAAATTGTTTTTAAATGCAAATGAAATTAATTTTCCAACGATTTTTTTTCCTTTTTTATGATTGTGCTTCAAAATTTTTTTCTTCTTATTTTCCAAATAAGTAAATTGTATTATTTGAACCTCGATATCTTCCAACGTTTATATAACAATCTGCCCTTTATTTTGTTCAATTATTCGCATACACCCTGTATAATAGACAAACCTATCCACAAGATAGTAGCAAAAATATCGACAATAAGCACTAAAATCTGTATCCTGTTTTTTAAATAAAAAAATTACAAGAATACTGCTTTTTTATGTTTTTTTTTGTACTATTATATTTATTTATTCAAGACTTGCCACCAAGGAAGAGCGAAAATAAAATAGCGACAAAACATTCAAGAATTACATATATTTATTTGGTATGGTCCCATTTAAAATATAATTTGGTGTATTTAATTGTAATAAATTGCACACTTAGCGATAATACGAGTTGCATCTCCGAGATATGGTTTAGCTTAATTAATAGATTTATCAAAACGGAACGGCGCGATCTCTATTAATCTTAATACTTCGCGAAAATTGTCTTTAGGCGAAATCTTAATTCGCCAGACAAAAGGTAATTAATCAGATCCGTATCGCCGGTGATTCTCGAGTTTGGGGAGGGAGTTGACAGTTTTCCACCGGCTCTGGGCCGGATTCCGCGCAGTATATAGCGATTTGGTAATTTATGGAACACGGGCAAGCTCGCGGTGTCAATAATTCACGAGGTAGCTGACTCGCAGGTACATGGGTAGTTGTGGACGCGTTAGCGGCTAATGAAACGACGCCCTCGTTGTTCAGAACAATTTAGTTAATGGCCCCACTATTTATAATAATGCGCTTGCACTCTTGACGTCGCTTTGCAGAGAGGGAAGCGAGCTTTTGCGATATTAATAATTGTGGCACGTAAACAACGTGGGATAAACAAATTCTTATGTCTATGAGAACAATATTGCGATGTATTTGTGGAAAGGCAACTTCTAATAACGCGTTAAAATAGCCAATAAGCCAAAAAAATTATACGTGTTTCCGTGGTGTAGTGGTTATCACATCCGCCTAACACGCGGAAGGTCCCCGGTTCGATCCCGGGCGGAAACAGTTATTTTTTTTTCTTTAAAAAAATTTCTAAGGTAAATTTAAAACAAAATTATTTGAAACCACCCGTATAGACGTATATATTTTTTCATCACCCATCACTTACAAGTATTTTCAACAGTTAAGCAGTACAGGGATCAATAGCGAAACGGCATGGTTTGTTCCAAAAAAAAATTGCACAGAATAGTCATAACATTATTTACAATATAAAATAATTATTAATGTTGCCTTTGAGTAAAAATTGAACTGAAAAACTGAAGATAAAATTATTAGGAGTTTTATTAAATGTAAATATTTTCCTTTTGTGTTCTCAGTTAAAAATATAGCAATTTTATTTCTGCAAAATAATTCTGACGTAATTTTTGTTTTTTTTTTCAACTGATTTCAGGTGTATGCTATATTCTTTTTTTATTTTCTTGGTGAACTAGCACTTTTTGCCACAATGGTTCTCACTTCGCATTTATGCACAGAACATTTAAGAAATGGAAACACAATTTTACATATAGCTTGAGATATAATTGCTGAACCGCTAGAGATCTTTTTTGGGACGAAATGTTATAATATTAGCACTCCTCTATAACTATTTTCTATTGACAAATCCACCAAACAATATACAAAGATAATAAACAAGTATAATATAATGCAGGCACATATTTGCAACACAGTAATAAATTTACAAAAATATTTCGTTACGTTGTTATACAAATAAATTGTATCTCAATTTTGACCTATAAAACAAATTAATTGCAATTCCATTTTCCATATTTTTATTCTAAATCTAATAAGAAAATTGGATTACCTTTTTTCTAAAGCCCTAAAAGTTTTGTCATTTTGTCATTGTCATTCTCCTCAATCAATTTAAATAAGAAAAAACGTATTTTAACCAAGAAATTGGCAGTTAAAATATTTTTTATAGAAAACATGCTTCCAATGGGAACCCCCCTTAAAAGTCCTCTTTATATTATTCGGTGTTCACGTTAGAATAACTTCTATAATAATACCACCAAAAAATATTTAAAATAGGCGGCTTTGACATTGTTAGTGTTGCTGCTGAAATAAGAATTGATATATAGTATCTGCAATAGTTTAAAAAACAATGTCTCATTATCAATAAGATGTATAAAAGGCCTTCCCCAAAATGAGACTGATCTTATAAATTGAAAGCTTTTGCGGAAAACGACTACAAAATCCAATATTTACTATATTTCCGGCTCACTTTTATCCACTGACTGCTTCGGCATAAATTCAAAAATATTGAAACAAACAATTCAGCACATTGTGGGT